TATTTGAAGCAAAAAAAATTAACATCTTCACAACAAAGGAGTATCATTGACTTCTGTAGTTGTTTATTGTAAAATAATGTAACAAAATTTTTTATAAGCATTCATTTATCAGTTAAATTAATGTTAAAAAATCATGATTTGACAAAATTAGTTGTTTTTACGAAAATTATTTCATTCTCAAAAACATATAGGCAAAGAAATTTTCTGACCTTTATTAACAAGCAATTTTTATAAATATAAAAATGAAGAAATGATGAAATTTTCCAACCATTTGGTTCATCGTGGAATTCCCCTTATAAAATATATACAAGTGAAATGAGTCACAAATGCAATGGATTTATTTTATTGCAGTACAGATATAGCGCAAAGTAAAGTCGAGGGCGTGGACCCTTGCGAGGAAACGCGGATGCTGGTTCGTGCTGTCGTCGGTTGTTCAGTGCATCGCCTTCTATATAATACTCGTTCGTATGCAATCCTGTATGTTATGTGTACATTTTATTTACTATACACTATATGCACACACGAGTATGCAAGTACATATAATATACTTATAGGTGGAATTGGCGAGAGAAAAAACGAAGATAGAATGGAAGAGGAAGACATTAAATAGAATAAAGAGAAATTATGGCTGAACCGCAAAAGTGAGAAACAGAATTATGTACACATATACGGGATTTTGTTAACCTCAGGCGAAAACGAAAGTTGCTAAGCAACGTGCCAATTATCATCATGTTAGTTTTGGTTTTTTTTTTGTTTATTTATTAATGGCCCGTCCGAAATTAGTAAACTTATGTACAGAAAGATTTCTCATTAGGCGGCTGTCATAATAATAGTACACATATCTATATAAATTAATGATTGTTATTTGTTTATTAATGATTAAAATGACTTGCCTACTATGGTTTTAATTTTTAATAGCTTTGTGTTTATCAAGTCATTTTGGCAATTATATTTATATTTAAATGTAACAAGACAAAATACATGTATTATTAGATAATACAGAGTAGAATGAATACAATATAATAAGGTAATAATATGCATGCCTTAAGCACTCATTTTTTAATAAAAAATTTTATTAAATAAATTGGCAATTGGTCATTTTTCATGATAAGGTAAAGTACCCAGTACTCGTACACTTATAAAAATGGGACCAGTACTTGAACAGACTTTTCGAATTGTTATAATACAAAATCCGTAAATTTATTATGAGTAATATGCGCGCATATTATAGTTATCAAATGACACAGTAATTGATTTCTGTAAGTTTTTTCAATTATAAATCAAAACAATTATATTTTTATTAACTTGAAAGTTGACATGTCGAGAATCGTCGATAGATGCTATTTTTTTCATGAAAAAGGTACTAAATCGTAAACTGAACAATCATTCTAAGTAAAAAAAATTGTACAATCTAATGAAATAGTCTTTTTTAAATAACATATATTTTTTGCAAAGACATAAACTATAATTTTTATATTAAATTTTAGCGTTCAACTATACCTCCAAATTTTTAAAGCGGTACCTAGAACTTGAACAGGCTGAGACCGTATAAATTTAACAGCACTATAACCTCTAATAAGTTTATAGACTAGTGATCAGCATTGTGATTTATATTAATTACTGCAATTTAAATAAGTTTTATGACTAAAAATTAGTGTAGTTAAAAATTAAAGTTGACATGTCGAGAATAACCGATAGATGCTATTTTTTTTTCATGAAAAAGGTACTAAACCGTAAACCGAACAATCAGTAAAAAAAAACGGTATGATTTTAAGTAAAAAATATTGTACCACCCAATGAAATAGTCTTTTCTAAATAATACATATTTTTTGCAAAGATATAAACTATAATTTTCATATAAAATTTTAGCGTCTAACTATTCCTCCAAATTTTTAAAGTGGTACCCAGAACTTGAACAAGCTGGGATCGTATAATTTTAACAGTACTCTAACCTTTAATAGGTTTATAGACTAGTGATCGGTACTGTGATTTTTATTAATTACTGCACATTAAATAAGTTTTATAACTAAAAATTAGTATAGTTAAAAATTATTGAACGTTTTGAATTGAGTTTTTTTGATTTATAATTGAAAATTTACTTTGTCATTCATAAAAAATGTAATTAAAAAATTTTAATACAAATATTTATCATTTTTAAATGAACATATTAAATATTCACAGTATTATTTTTAATATTATTCAATAATATTTTATATTTCTTTTGATATTTCAATAAAACGTTGAAAATTTTTGGTGTGCCTATTGCCATATATTTTATTAGTTCAACTACTGCGGCTTGTCAAATTAATTGTTCAATTACTACTCCTTTCATAGTCTTTTTTAAAAACGTTTTCAAAATATAAATAATCAATTGTCTGCGTTATTTTGCGCTTCAATCAATTTAAAATTGTTTATATTTTCATGTAAATCACTAATTTGAACTAATAATTACATCTTTATATTTTAATATTTTAAAAGTAGGGTCAAATATGTTTTACTTTGAAACCTGTTCAACTACTGGGTACTTTACCTTACTGAAGTTAAGAGATATTTAACCATTTTTGGAATTATTTAAAGAAACCAATTTAGAACAGCAGTTCCCTGTGTAAAAATTGTAAATATAATTGCTATTTTTTGACAATAATTTTCTAGAACTAATTTATTTCAAATAAAATCCAAAAATAGTCAAGTATTTGCTGATTTAAATGCCATAATTTTTCTTCAATAATCTAGAAAATGAAGAAATGTTACTATTTCTTTGTTTGATACACTACGCTTGCGCAAAAGATCTAAGCAACTTCAACAGCTGTTGTCAGATTAATCAACCAGATAGTCAACAGATGACGACTTATCTGAATTCTTTTAAATTTGCGTGGATGTCATTTGATCAGAATAAGGTTTTTAGCAAAAAGTTAAAAAAAATGGGAAATTTAAAAAACTAAGATTTGCTTAAGACATGCAGTAAATAAAAATAAAAATAAAGTAATTAAAGAACGGACATGCTATTAGTGAAGTGAGAAAACATACCCTGTACCATGTGGCCACCTTTACATCGAAAAAGGTGGAGGAAGCGGTGTTGATGGCACCCAAGGGTAAGCCCATGTCGTGAAGAGTGCCAAGGAAAGTGGACGTGTTGTGCGAGATGCACACGCAAACGCACATGAGCACACGCGTGAAGGTGATGAGTGAGTCGGTGTGTCAGTAGCCAATCCACGCACCAAGTGTATGGCATATCCCATACAAGTGAGAGGGTTAAGCGAACAAAAAAACACAACTATATGTCAGAAGTTATCTTATTGCTTTTGTTATAAGTATAAATAATAAATTAGTTTTATTAATTAATTTTTAAATGAAATAAATCAAAATAACAGACAAAATACATATTTCATACATCAATAGCTCAACAACTACATGGTTTTCTATTTATATTTGTTTTTTATTATTTTTAATTGGAATGATAGATTATACGGACAGACATTGGGATTTTCTATCATTGAAGTAGATCACTGCCGAGCGGAAGCACTCGATTCCACTGTATACGAGCGGTCAAAACATTAATTGATATCTCGGCAGGTGGTCATTAATAGCTTGCTCAATTATCAGTACCGACAATAATACTTGACTGGTATGCTTCGAATAAGCTTCAACTCATGCAATATTACCTTTGTGAACAGTAACAACTATGCTATTATTGTTTACAATTTAAATTGATCATTAAATTAAAAAGAAATTGAAAAAAAAAACATTTTTTTAGCAAATTAAAAGGCATGCAAAATATTTCAATTTCGCGTTCTTAAAGTTCTTATCGTGTTTGTAAAGTTGCATTAAGAGCATGTAATATAGTCTGTTGTCGGTACTTCAGTTTGGACTAGTGATAACAAATGCCAATTAAATATGTTGGATTGTTTATTTGAAACACGTAAAATGCACTAAAGATTATCAGGCTGACTGTCAATACTCCCAAAACTGTTCAAAAAAATTAAACTATAGTTTATTTTCTATAGTAAATGAAATTTTTTGTTGATAATTAGTTTTCTATTTAAACCTAGTTGCATTTTAATAATTCTGTCTTATAAGTAATCTAAACTAAAGTAAAGATTAACCAAAAAATTAAATCAATCTTAAAGATTATATTGGTTGTAAGTTTATGAATAATTTTTTTATAGTAAAGTTTATTTACTTGAATATATAATGGGCCCGGAGATAAGGCAGTTTTACAAGCGAACTCTACCTATTTATTTATCACTTTGTTATTTTTTTTCAATGATTAAATTTAAAAATAGAAGAATCAATTTACGAAGGACTATTATTAATATGCTCCTGCCAAGTTTAATGATTTTTTGTTCAAAAATTACTTGGTCAAAAAGTGTTTCAGTATTTTTTCCAAAATTTGAATATTCTCTGTCCTACATATTCTTAAATATAATTGAAGAAATTAATTTTTTTTAATAAAAATATTTATTCGAAATTTATTGATGAGAAAAATTTCGTTTGTTACTTATTTTTAAAATTTGTCATTAAATTACTTAATTTGCAACCCTAATGTTATTATTATTATTATTATTTTCATTACTGACAATTATAAAATAGTGTCCTGTAATTGTCGAACTATTGATTTTTTTTTTATTATAAAAACATAAAATAAATAGAAGCGAAAAAAACAATAGTGATTAAAATGGAAAATTCTAGTTATTTTGTGATAAAAAAAATGAATATAAGAAGAAAATGAAGGTACTAGTTATTGTAATTAATAATGGGGTAGTTTTTAATGTGATGCTGTACCTCCTGCGTCCCGGAAGACAAGCATGTGGGACAGAAAAAGATGACACGCGTGAACGAAAAAACTCATTCGGCGTGATTCACAGTTGATAAAGGCGGGCGTAATAAAAAGAAGCAAAAAGCAATTATTTATTTTTTATCATTTATAAATTATACTTATCGATTATTAAATAAAAATATATTAATAATAATTTCCAATTGAATTAATCAGCAATTAAAAATTATCTGATTGAAATCTTGATAATTAAAAATTTATAAAAAACCAATTACTGATAATTTAAAATTTAGAATAAAAATGAAATAATAAATTTAGAAAAAGAAATAAGGCAGCTTTACGTGATAGTACTATCTATAAATGATGCAATTAACAAGTGATGGTTTAGTTACTTAAATAGACTTTGAATAGAAATGAATAATTAGACTTGGTTCTACCTTTGGCAGGGACGCGAGACATTGTTGCTTAACATCCCAAACAAGCTGGTCTTTGGGGAATTGAAGACACTTGGTGACATTTAGCTCTGGTACATTAACCCTAGCAAAAAGTATGCCGTCTTCAGCTGGAGCAGCTTCCAGGGCAGGATCGTGGGCCTGAATAAATTGTGCTTGTCCAGCGGTAACATTACCAGCTTGTCCTCCACTGGGACAAATGCCCGTTCTCGGTCCCGCTTCCATCGCGAAGACCCTACGGGCTCGTCCTTAACCTCTCTCACTCCTTATATCACATCTGAAACAAAAGTTTTAGTTTTTAATTTTTACTTTTACCCTCTAATTGTTATTTTATGTCTTTTAATTCTTTTAATTCTAAGAGAAAAAGTTGAGATTTAAGATATTCAATTCGGCTCACTGCTGTTGTATCAAAGGGAGCAAAAAAATTTTAAAAGTTCTTTTGCTACTTTTTTAAGAGCTTTGTCTCACTGAACAATTGTCGCAGGAAGAATAGAAAAAAGGTAGACATGGGTTAATGGGAGAAAGATATATTAGCGTAGAAATTTGTGCAATAGTCAAGTTTTTTTCAGTGTTCACACTAAATATAATTGTACTAGTATACGTTGCGCGCGCAAGCGCGCGTGCACTGATAGAAAAACAATCTTGATTCAAGAAACGTTTTTTCTTCAAAACTTGAACTCTTGAAACTAGATATAGATATATTTCTTTCAAGAATTTTTGTCTCTTGGTTCAAGATAGGCGATAACATTGATTCAAGATGTTTACCGACTTGTGTTAAGAATGGCTTTTTTTTTTGAGTCATTAATTAATTTACTTCTTTCTAAGGAATAATTTTTTTTTGGTATAACAATTAAAGACTATTTAGTTTTTGAATTGTACTTTGATAAATTATTTTGTTTTTTAAACGATAATGTTATTTTGATTGAAAAACTTAAATGTATCGATTGAAGATAATATAGCTCTTAAGCCAAGAAAATCTAAATCAAGACAAGAAATTCTTAGAGCAAGATAATCATTTGTCTTCCAAAATAAATTCTTAGATCAAGAAAATATCTCTTGAGTCAACATAAATTTTCTATCAGTGTGTGAATGTTGTTATGGAATTATCTATATTTTCATGCTTATGATATATTTGACCAATCACGTTACGAATAGTTTGCTCTTACATGATATATTTTCATATTTTTCATCTAAATTATAAGAGTGGATTCCTTATGATCTGGTACCATTTTTTGGAATGTTTTTTATTAGATTTTTCGAACTGATTGCTTAAAGTTCAACAAAAAATTGACGAAGCTACTTTTGCTTCTCTAATTGAATACTTCTAAAAAAATTTCACTCATGTAAAAAAGAAAATTTTTAAAAATTTTGCTCTCATTATTTGGCAAAAAGTTATTGCGTAACAGTTTTTTATCAACCGAATTTTCGTTATCAACATTTAAAAAAAAAAAAAAATGAATGAAAATAGGGTAAAAGACCCCATTAGTGGCGGGGACCCCATTACTGACACTTTCTTTGATTTGGTACTTATTTAATTAATTAAATCATTAATTTCAATAATAAATATATTATTTCTAATCTGTAAGACCTTTTGATTAAAAAAATTTTTAATTTTTATTCCAAGTAGAACATTTTTTCTATTGTAAAGAAAAAGTAGCCGCTAATAGACCTTTTGATTAAAAAAATTTTTAATTTTTATTCCAAGTAGAACATTTTTTCATTGAAAGAAAAAGTGCCGCTAATGGGGGGGGGGGTTAAACGTGCCACTAATGGAGTCTTAGTTTATTTAAAAATTGTGTTAAAATTCAGGTGTTCAGAGTGTATAAGAATATTATTTCAAAGAATTTCATTTATCAACATTTTTGTCACATGTTAATTGCTCTTTAAGTATATAAATAAATATTCCAGTAAAAATAATGTAAAAGAGTGTGAAAAATTGATAAATAAATTTAAACAATTTAACTTAAATACTTTTAAATTATCGATAGGCTCTTGTTTTGAAAGGATAAAAAAGTATAACGGTAGTTTAGGTAACACGTTAATGGACAAAATAAAGTATAGGTAATATCAATTTTACGATTTTTATAGCCCGTAAACGTTTTTTATGCTCGCGAACATTTTATAACAGATACAAGTTACATTGCATCACGGTTTTATACAGCAATCATTTAAAACTGTCTTTGTATGTTTATTATTATTTAAGTTTTTTTTTTCACGCGATCAAAATTTTTCATCAATTATATTTTTATGTGTTTTTATTACAATTTTATATATGTATTTTTTGTAACTTCAAGATTAAATGTCATTTCGATTCACGGACTCTCAGTCGTATATTTATAGTTGATCAACTTGGAAAAAAGAACAATAAAAAGGAGGATAAAAAACTATTAACGAATAAAAAGTTAAAAGATAATACCACCAATCTAGTATGTATGAGAATAGTAATGAGACAAGTCAAGCAAGTCAACAAAAAAGTAAAATAAAACTTTTTAGAGAATATAACACACTTATATGGTTAAGGAACTGAAAAATAATTTATTGAAAAATTTTTGTTTTTACAGTTAGTAGTCCAAGGGTTTGTAATTTTTTTGTTCTTAAGAAAATAATTTTCTTGGAAAATAAGTAATTAATTGAAAAATAATGAATTTAAAAGGATGAAATGAATTTTGATAAAAAAGACATTGTGTGAGATAGAATACAAAAGGATGGTGGAGGTTAAAAGGACGCCGATTAATCTAGACAGAAAAATATAAAACACGTGAGATATAATGACGTCAAATCGAATACATGGAAATAAAAGTAGTAAATAAAGTTGGCTTTGAAGGGGAAGTTAAAAAAATAGTTGAAGAAGTTGTGGAGTTGCAAAAGACATAAGAAGTGGCCTTCGATTCGATGAATCTCTTCTTCTCTTCTCTTGTTTAACGCAATCACCCTTTCATGTCATTCAATTAAGTTTTTCCTCTGTTTATTTATTTATTTATTCCTTTTTTACAGTGTCAATCTTTTGGATTTAAGTATTTAATCTTTCCATCGATATTTTTTAATTGCTTTATTATTATAATTTTTTATTTTTATAAATTAACTAAATTTATTGTGAAAATTTTTTTACTGCCTCGATAATCAAATATACGGTGATATCTCAAACACAAATGATGAAGAGCTCCGTGTAATTATAAATAACAAAAATAAATGATTTTTTTTTTTTTTTTTTTTCAAGACATTTAAGAGCAAGAGTTTAACTTTCGTATTAAAATGCCGGTCATAATAATTTATCCGGCGACAATACAAGTGGTGAAGTCATGGAGGTCAAGCGGAACTTTCACTTGAAAGCTTCGTGAACTTCAAAATAAATATACTATATTAACTTAAGCATACAATAACATGTGTACGCTCGAAGATATAATATATATAAAATGTTACTTAATCTAATAAGAAAGTGGTACCTGCTATTCTTTACTACCCACATATTTGTTCATGAGATCATTCATTTAAATAGTGTAGAATAAATTTACGAGCTGCTAAAAAAATCAAATAACTAATAACCAATTCAAATTTAAAACAAAACTCATGTTTCTTTTTTTTTTTTTTTAATTATATGAAAATCTATTGTTTTTTTATGGCGTGATAAATTTTTATAATGCTTAAAGTTGTTGACAGTCTAAGTAAAAGCGGAAGATTTTTTTAATTTCAGTTATAATTTGACATTGACATTCTTAATTTTATGACACTGTTTTCTGTAAAAATGTATTTGAATATTTAATAAAACACTGACGTTATTTAAATTCAGAAACATTTTATAAAATACAAATAAAATATTTTACAAGTTTTTAATGACAGTGATTGATCGCTTTGTTGTTATTATTGTTACGGTATGATGGAATTATTTATAACTCTCTTAACTTATAATTATTGAATTTTTAAAACATCTGTTTGAAAAATTAATATAATCATATTGTTGCGAGTATGAAATTTAAAGACAAATTAGTTTATGGTAGTTAATTTATATTCATTTTAAATAAAGCATTTTTTATTTAATTTTTTATGAAACCAAATTCTGTGATAACTGAGCAACAAATTTAAGCAAATTATGATAATGGAGGTTTGATGATAATACTAGAAAAAAAATCGAAATATCCGAGAACAAATACCTCTAATTTAAAAACAAAAATATTGAACATTTATCGCTTATCACTTGTCAGTGTGAAATTATTTCAAATCATAATTTCACAATATAATAATTTTCTTTACATTCGCACAAAAAAACTATAAACTTATTGAAGTTCACGACATAATTTTTTTTCTATAATTACTTTTATAAAAAAATTTTAAATGATATCATATTTGTGAATCGAAATGCAAAGGATCAAGTTTGTAAAAAAATAATTAGATAATAATGACTAATTATGAGCTCTGTTCTGACTAAAGTTACAAAAATAATATTCCGAACTTACAATTGTCTTAGTCAAAAAATGCACTCACGAACAAGATAACTCGTAATTTAATATTGCCTTCCCTATAAGATTTGATAATTATTTCTGGATATTGTATTTTTTTAAATGTATAATTCTTATATTTAATATTAGAAAACATGTAAAAATAATAGGTAAGTGACATTTAATATTAACTCGCGTCAAGGATGTTGAGATATCGATAAGTATATAAATACGTTTTCTCTCATCAATAATATTCATTTTATGTCACAACATCGCAAGATAGTATCTCTTTACAATCGTGAGTTCAAATTTACTTTTATCTATGACATTTCTGTCATGAGCTAAAAATAATTTTGATAAAAAATTAATACCGAATAAAAATACCAATGTAGACTAAAATTCCTAACTTTTTATTTTAGAAGTCACTTTTGAAAACATCTATGCAAATACATGTTCGAATTGAATATTTATTCACGAGAAATGAGAAATTACAAATGTTTTCGATTACTTAAAACTTGCTGAGTCATATAATAATAATAACGATAATAATACTTTTTGCTCAACTTCTGGCTCCCATCCCTGCTGAAATAATAAATTAACATTGAACTTGCGTGAGTTTAATAGTTTCGCATTAAAGTTACAGTGACTTAATAAACTTATAGACTTCAATTTACTTGACAGACTGAAGGTTTTAGTTTCAGGGAATTCCAAAGTAGAGTAGTAAGAAGTTGAACTTTATTTCCAACATTCTCAATTTCGACTGACAGAAGACTTTAAAAGTTTAGTTTTTAA